CAACTATAATAAAAAAATTTTATTAAAGAATCATAATAAAAAATATGTAAAAAAAGTATTATTTATAAATATGAATTTCACATGTAATATTTTAATAAATTTATACTATTCATGACAATGTGATTAATTAACCGAAATAATAATTGTAGGTGAAATGCTCAGTAACGTGGCACGAAGACTAAAAATTTTTGCACCATTTAACATTACTCAATCTACTATGTCGTAATAATTAATTGGGTCCCCAACAAATCAAATTCATGAGAGCCTCAGCCTTCTTTTCTTCCCTCTTTTCTCTTCCACATCTCATCAAGAATAGCAGTTTCTTTCTGTTGCATTGACTTGAATGCCATCTCAAATTTGCTCGCTCAATTATCAGACCAGACAAGAAAGATCTCAATCTGTTTTTTTAGGGTAGTTCTTAAAGAAAATAATCACAAAAAATAAAGAAAAATTTATAGCACTATAATATTTCGTTCACAAATAAGATTGATAATACAACAATTTTTATTTATATATATTCTAAAATCTAGTTGTGGTAGCACCCCAACAAGTCATGTGCAAAATTTCCATTGACAATATATCTGACTTCTTCATCTTATAATATCTCATCTTATTGGAAATTGTCATCATTGTTGGCAAAGAATAACAAGAAGAAGAGAGTATTTTAGCTTCAGCAAGAGCTCTGATATTGGTCATGGCACGTTGGTTAACTGATCTTATTGTATAATTCCATCTACAAATTCCTTGATCTTTCAATGTCTCCACAGCACCAATTGCAGCTGCCACAATCCACATTCATCTTCTCTTTCTCCAAAAACCTTTCCCTCCAACCGAGAGGAAAAAATTACGTCGTTTTGGTCATGACGAAGCATACAGAACGAACTATTCTTTTGTGTTTTACTAAAGATTATAGTAGAGTCTACGAACAAATCTAAGAAATTTGAAGTTTTTTGTGACTTAATGGAAGTGATGTAGGCTAATGGATCCTTTAAATAGTACATATAATGGTACAAAAAAAATTATAAATGCTAGTAAAAAAAAAAACCAACAATTGAGGAATATAATTCTTGGTCTTTTGGGTACTATATCACCTGCTTAGATTATGTCGACTGCCGGTTTTGAATCTAGACAAGATGGTCCAAAGAACATTAACAAAAATAATAATGTTATTAAAGATCAATAATTTCATTGATTTTATATTAAACGGTGATTTCAATGTGGGTAGAGATTATCGGAGGTGGATCTATCCTTTGTCAAAGGGTGTCCATGAACATTCCTAAAAATGAAAAATTTAAAAAAATTAAAAAAATTTCTAAAAATTTTTTAAAAATTTTCGTGGATACCTAAAAATTAAAAAAATAAAAATATTGAAGGAAAAACATCATTTTCATCGACAAATTTGAAAAATTCATTGAAAAGTTTATATATATATATATATATATTATAAGGGAATACCTAAAAAATATTTTACATCCGCCACTAAAAATTATAAATATTATGCGGTTTTCTAATGGACAAATTTGAGTTATTCCCTAAGTAGAAGGCAAAAGGTAGAATAATTTTGTCTTTGGTTCTATCTGCTTGCACTGTTTTTTCCCCCATTTTTGGTTGGATTCAATAATTTAATATGGAAAGATGTCTTTCCCATGATTGTGATTTAAACGGGTGATTTGATTTTTTTTTCTTTCTTTTTTATAATAATTAGGATTAAGGGATTTATTTGTTTTATTTTATGAGAACTTTTTGAAATCCCTTCCACAAATTTTGAGGGTAATTTTGATTTGTTATTATTGCTCTATGTAACTTTATCCAGAATCCATGTATTTCATTTCAAATTTTATGTCAATCAAGGAAAGAAAAAAAAGAGTTGTCATTTTTTTTCATGTTTACTATTTTTCACCCTTTATTTTGTTATAAAAAAAAAAATTAAGGAACAAAATGTGTACATGTTAAAAATTGAACCACAACTTTAATTTTTTTATTTTTTGAATTACAATTTTGATTTCAAACTTAAAATCTTTAATTTTGAAATGATCTTCAATACTACTAATAGAGATGTCAATCTTATATAAATTGGATAAGAAATTTGATTTTTTATCTGAATAGAGATGAAGATACACATTAAATTTTAAAAAAGAGATAGATATGATTTAAAAATTTTTTTTTACTAAATATAGATATAAAAATAAGTAATATAACATCCGTCTCGTATATATATTTGTACTTTATATATATTTATATATATTTAATAAATAAATTTTTATTCAATAATATAAATTTATATTTTAAATTAATTACAACCAATATATTTCTATTTAAAAATATATATTTATAAAAAATTTACATAAATATACAAGATAAAAATTAAAAATTAAAAATTAAAAAAAATATTTTTATTTTTTAAAAAAAGTATAAGTACCAGAGTTATCTTGACCCATTAAATACCAGTGAAAATAATAAATAATGATGAATTAAAATATTCATCAAATATAAATACAAAATAAATATAATATATAAATAAAATATATATATATATATATATATATATCTTACCCATTCTATACCCTACCCATTACCATTACTAAGCCTTTCAATCATACAGACTGTAGACCCAGAAAGCAAAAATGGGAAATACTATGCTTCAGCGTCTAGGCTGCTTGCCCAGCCCAAACTTAATATTAAGATGGTTAACCCAACCAACCATCACAAGATAATCACAATAATTATATCTTAATTGCTGGCTTGTCCGAGATACGCAATATTAGGGATTCTTATAGCAAATCCTAATTTACAGCTTTGATTCCTGTATACAAAATTTCATCTGAATTGAAATTATTGGCACTTTCAATTCTGAGCCAAGTTTTTAATGAAATTTGGCATTATATTCACAAATAATGTAGGGGTTTTAGTTAAATTAGGACCCTAGCAGCTTAAATGCATAACTTTTCTTAGTGATTCTTGTACGATAATTTCAAATATAATATAATGATATGATATAAAAATAATATAAAAAATATAAAAATAATACGATTTAACATTTTAATAAAAATTTATAAATAATTTTAATAAAAAAAATATTTTATATCAATACAAATTATAATATGATAAGTTTTTTTATTTTACACGTATTGAATACCAAATAAATATATATAAATAGATGAATTACCAAGTCTGCTGTTTCAATTGGTTCAACTTCTCATCACTCAATTTCTTTGACAAAGCATAAGAGGGGGTAGACAATTTTTTAGCCTGAGAATATTGTCTGATGTTAGCATTGGCATGCTGTTGAACTGATCTCAATGCACAATTCCACCTGCAAAGCCCTTGATCTTTCAATGCCTCCACCACTCCAATCCTTGTTGCCATCATCCAAGCTAATTTGCTGATTTGGCAATGAGATTTCCATAAATTTTTGTAAATTTCTTTCCAATTAGAAAATTTCCTGAAAAAAAATTGTTTCAACTATATTCTCTTGCCTGCAAAAATCAGATACAAGTCTGTGAGAAAATAATTTTGAGCCTATCCATGAACATTTTCTTCTTCATTCTTTCATATATAAATCAAATGAAAATAAGAGCCAAAAACAAACCCAAAAAAGTTAAGACTGAAAAGAACATGTTCACCATTCAAAACTATATTCAATTCAGGTTCATCTCCGGCCAAATCTTGAACCAACTACTGCTACTAACAAATTCATATCAGAATTGGGGAGGGAAGAAAAATATTCTATTATCATTACATCAAAATCTAATAGTATTAGGACCCCAAACAGCTCAAATCCATGACTTTTCTCATTTTCTCTTCAGATTTCTTCATCAATTGATTTGAAACAGATGCTGAAGTAGGAGAAAAAAATATTGGCCTGAGCAAATGATCTGATATTGTTCTTGGTATGTCGATGAAGTGACCTTATTGTATAATTCCATCTGCATATTTCTTGGTCTTTAAGAGCCTCAACTGCACCTATTGTAGCTGCAACAATCAAGGCTTTCCTTGTTGAATTTCTTGATTTGCAGCCTATGGTTGATATTATTGAGAAATTATGGAAGAATTTTTTTTCTCTCTCTTTCCTTTTTCGTTTGTGTTGGATTGTTGATTCTTGGAGAAATTAAATTGTTAGAATTTAAATTTTGATTATTAAAATTAAAATTTTAATATTCTACTAGGCCGTATGTCTGTAAACTAAGATTGAGGCTTAGTTTCATTCTCAGTGCAGTTTGCAAAATTAGAGACTGAAATTACACCAATTTGAGCTGATTTTTTTTTTATTTATTGAAAAATTGCTATAAAATAATTAATAAAAACAAAAATCAGATAATTAATTAAAAATAAATAACTAATTAAAATACAGTTTTTATCACCACATAATTTAGATACTAGCAAACAAATGAAAAACTACAGGCAGTGTTAGCAACAGCTTAGAATTGGTAAAAAGTAGGAACCCCAGGCATTTTAAATACAAGAAAAAGTTTTCCAGCTGATTTTGATGGATTTGTCAATACCCTTGTTTGAAGAATATTCTTTCTATAGTAAGGAATATGTCAAAATGACACACCTAGAAATTTTACTATAAACAAATTTGTTTTTAGCTCTAATATCAAAATTTTAATATAAAATTAATATAAAATGTTAAACATTAAAGTTTTTCAAAACTATGTCAAATAGAATTAGAAGTTTCACAACTCTAATTCTTATTTGTTCAAGTCTATAATTCTAAATTGAATATTTTATTTTTAAGATTTAAATTTAATTTATAAGATTTAAATTTAATTTCTGTTATCACTAATCCTACTTGGTGGACAATTAAATCCAATGTAAATCATTGATAAGGCTTGCAATATGTCCTATAGCTCCCATCACCTAAACTTAAAAATATATATATATATATATATATATATATATATATATATATATACAGATCTTGAAATTTTAAATTCATTTCTCAATTAGTTAAAATTGATTTTATGTTGAATTTATTGTGTTGAAATTATCTACTTCACTGTCCTAACTACCTTCAAGAGCTATATAAATTCACATTTTAGAAACCATGAATTTATTAACAATCATATAATTTTAATAAAATCAAGCTATATCTTCAAAAAAGGTAGAAAGCAGAGACATTGGAATTGAGTGTTGGAATGAGAGAGTTGCTCTCAATTTGTATATAAAAAATCCAACCAACGGATTAGAAAAGTCAGAAAAAAGAAAATGTTTTCAATCCAAATTTAGATTGAAAATTCCATGCGTGGAGCCCAATCTTTGAAACCAAATATGAAAACCAAAAAAAAAAAAAAAAAATTCAAAAGGTTTCATTTACATCAATTCAGATGGTCTACTTTTTCTCTGCCAAAAAATTCTATGAATCATAAGATTAAAATCTAACAGAATTAGGACCCCAACAGTTCAAATCCATGACTTTCCTCATTTTCTCCTCGGCTTTCCTCCTCTTTTCCTCTCTCAACTTATTTGAAACAGCAGCTGAAAAAGAAGAAGAAGGAGAAGAAATCATGTTGGCCTCAGTAAAAGATCTGACGTTGTTCATGGCATGTTGATGCAGTGATCTTATAGTATAATTCCATTTACATATTCCTTGGTCACTCAATGCCTCCACTGCTCCAATTAATGTAGCTGCCACAATCCAGGCTTTCCCTGCTGCTCCACTCATTCTTGAAAAGGTTAAAGATGGAGATTTTCTTGAGATTTTTTGGTCAGTTTTGATTGAGTTGGCTGGAGAAATGACATGTTGGGTTCTTTTATATAATGGGAAATGGTGGAAAACTAGAGGCGGTTTGAGCAAAAAATTGGGAGACAAACCCATGGTTTTTGCAGACAAAACCAAGTGGTTTGGTTGGAATAGTTGGGTTATTTTCGATGCTTTTGAGATTCACTGGTTGTGGAAATATAAACTAATGGCTTAAACATGTGACCAATAATCAAATAAATGAAATCAACTTTACTTTTAGATCAAACAAAGAAAAGTAGGGACCTTTGTTTTAGTTTATTGGATTTAATTTGCTAAGCAAATTATGCCATATTTGCCCTGCTTTTGTTTCCATTTAAAATGACCTATATATGTATATTTGTTTAGGTTGGTCATGAAATTTAAGGATTACGCATAATTTTTCAAAAATAATTTTATTCAGGGAACATAATAGGGTATTTTTTATTTTTTTTAGATTTAATTTTCTAACAATGCGATTTCAAGACATATCTACACGTTAACTTATTTCATTTAAAACTTTTTTAAAAAATATTTTCCATAAACATTTAATCTCAATTTTATAAAAAAAAAAAAGAAATCTTTTTTTTTCTTTTTACAAATTGGATTAATTCTTTGTGGATAAAATAAAATATTTCTACCAAAGTTGAATCGATCAATTTAAAAGTATAATTTTGATTTAATCAACTCAAATTGTCTTACATTATCTATTCTTAGATTATTTTGTTATGAGCTTAAAAGAGCGTTTGATTCGTGAAATTTTAAATTTTAAGATAAAAAAGTAATCCTCTGAAAAGTGTAGATTCTTAAGAAGAGGTGATTCTTTCTATAATGGGAATGTTAAATTGCTATATTTGGTTCATAAAATCACAAATTATGTAATAAAGGCCTTTTTTACTAATATCTTTCATTACATGTAAATAATATGTAACAAACATTCAATTATCAATTATATTATTAAAATTAAACATGTAACAACCATTAAACATAAAAAATAAATAAGGTTTTTATTTTTATTATGTTAAAAATAAGGTGACATATTATAAAAATATATATAATAATAAAGTTTAAAGACGACTTTTTTTCATTATAAATGCATTTTTTGACAAATAAAAAAAATTCATTATCAACAACCATGGTGTTTTTGTTACATAAACACAGTGTTTGATAAAAAATCAAGCACTACATTTTGGTTTATAAACAAGCACTTTGTTTTAGTACATAAGTGTAGTATTTGATAACAAACACGACATTTCTATTATAATAATTATAGTATTTGATAAAGAATCAAGCATTACGGTTTGGTTTATAAACGCAGCCTATGTATAAAGATGACATTTCTATCATTAGAAACATAGAATTTGAGAAATCATAAAAGAAAATTGATTTAACAAGCATGATGTTTATCAAATGATAAACTCAATGTTTGATATTGTTTATAATTTTTTTCCCAAAATCATATTACAAGTCTCTCGACATCTCTCGATTTTCTTTATACCTTAAACCCTACATCGTTGAATCACAATCATTGTCGTTGTGCTTGTAGTCATTGCCGTGACTATTGTTTCAGGTAATAAATCATTTTTCTCATTGTTCTTATTTTATGAAACAATTAAATATAAGGTATTCAAAAATTGTTCTTATACCCAAAGTCAGTATCATTATCAGCATTAAATGATTTCACAGCATCAGTTACTATTTCAGCTATTGTTCTAGTGGCTTTGTCTTTACTATAAATCTTAACAAAGTCATTAAAGTGAGAAAAATGTTTGTTCTTTAATCGGATAGCATTGGTTGAGTCAACATAAAAGTTAAATTAAATAGATTTGAGCATATATATAAAATATTTTGAAAAAAAAAATTAGCAATCAAAATAACTTCTACATTCATATTAACTATTTACTTAAACCAACTGATGAAAAATATCATTGTCAGCAGTTACACATTGTCTATATCATTCCAACCAAATCTACTTGCATGGGCTACCATATTACAGATCGTATGATACTATCTTTTCAATAATGTCACCCTTGACTCAATGGTGAGCTTGCTTTCAGTTGTGCTTAGAGAATTTTGGCCTTCAACATATTTTCCAAAAGTCTTAGGTAACCAACCTAAATGTTCTATTGTCAGCTTTTCATCTAGGATCATCAACCAAAATAGTAGGTATTGGACAAGTATGGCATCTTTCACATTTATCATGTGTGATAACCAATTAATGATGTTTGTTTTTTCTTTTGGATATACTTTTTATGTTAGTAATAGATAAAGACATTTTGATATCCTAATAATATAGCTAATTAGACATTGTGCAACAAATGCATATCACATCAAAAACAAATGAAAATGAAGCAATAATTATCAGAGAAGAAAATCAATAACATGGTAACAAAATAAATATTGTTGTAAGCAATAGTTATCTACATTGTACACTCAACAAAAAAAAAAAAACAAATAGGAAAATAAATATAAAACAAATGTTGAAAACAAATAGTACATTCAACATATCGTGCACATAACAATATTAGCAATCAAATAGAAAAATGAACAAATTGCCTTTAACCTTTGGATTGCAATCAATTCATGAACATATTTTCTGCTAACTTTCTCTAACCTCAGTTCAAATATCACTTAGCTTAATGTGCCTAACCAAATCTTAATGACCATCTCTTTTTGCTTGACTATTACTTATTTCAACAACATCACATTCAATAAGATCAATTAGCATGGTAGACCTAATAAAATTATAGAGAAAAGCAACAAACAGAAATTGTCCATCTAGCTTTTAATGTACCAAAATATCTCTCGATACAATTTTTTGCTTAGATGTTTTATATTGAAGTATTTTTAGGGTGTCAAAGATTGGTGTTTTAGCCCAATCATTCAAGAGGTATATTTGATCTTTCTTAAGTGCCAAAAAAACTTTTTTCATTTGTGTATCTAGCATCACACAAATAATAAAAACTTAATCTAGTGTCGCAATATCAATAAACATTTAAAATGTGCTCCATGGTATAACCAAAATAAAAAAAGTAAAGCTAATACCTTGTGGGATTCTTAAATCATTTCTACATGTAATGGTATCTTTGAACACTTTATTTTCTATTACAGAACCTTCTTATCCTAGTAGAAATGAATGAATTGCATATCTGGTATGCAATCACCAAGAGCATTAAAAATAATTTTAGTTTTCCTAGCTCTAATATCTAGCCCTATTAACTGAGTTTATATTCACCTTTATGTATGTTTCATTTAAGGCTCCCAAACAACCCTAAACCTAACAACTCTTATTAATATATAATACAAAATTGAGATTTATTAATACTTATTCAAGCAAGCAATGATTAATGCATTACCTTAAATCATTTTTATCTATTATCTATTGAATTCTCTACTATTGATTTTTGGTTTTTTAAATAGGAAATGCAATTTCAAAACATAATTCAACGTAGCATGAAATTGCTGACTAGCTATCTTTCCAAGTTTGGTAACTTAATACTTCATAACCTTATTTTTTATATGATGGGTAATGATGTGAAGAAAGCTAGTAACCATTTTTTTTATTGACATATGTCTAGATATCTTTAATCTTCCTTCTGTTTGAAGAAATTGATATAATTTTGTAAAAACTCTCATATCCATTCAATAATTAACCACACTCTATTTATTACTCTTAAATATGAGTGATAATGGTTAAGATCAAATCAGATTAGGTTTGATTTTTTTTGGATAATGTGTAGCATTATGAATTTTTGAACCGATCTGAATCCGAATTGACTTTCTCTTGAAACCAATTTGATTCGAACTAAATTATATTAGTTCAGTTCAGTTTGGTTAGGTCCATCGATTTTTAAATTTTTAAATTTAAATTTTTATATATTATTTTAATAATATTTTTAATATATTTAAATAGATTTATATAAAAATAATTATTTTTGTTTTATAAAAATTTAAAAAAATACAAAAATAAAAATATATAATTTGGTTCAATTCAATTTTTTTTTTCACACCCGGTCCAAATTAGATCCAAACTTAATATAAATATATATATATTTAATATCCAAACTTGATCTAAACCAAATAAGAAAAAATCTTATTCAAACCAAACTTTATGGTTTTGAATTGATTTTCAATTTTCTCGATTTTTTTTCACCCTTACTCTTAAAGACTATCTTTTTAAGTTCAATGACCTAATTTGAAGCCTATCAAGAGTTTCATTGGCATAATAGATTCTAAGTCTTTTTCTAAGTTTCATAGCAACCAATGTCATAATAATAATAAGCAACAGTTGAAACATACTACTTTCCATTTAATTCATTTGCAAAATAAGCATTGTTATCGATTGCATATTCTTTCTTATTGATAAATCAGCCATAGCTATTTACAAAAAAGATTTTTATTATTGTTGAAAACATGTGTTGAAAACATTAATGTGTATTTAGTAGATCAAGATCTAAGCCACATCTAGCAAAAAATAAATAGCAAGAAAACATTTGATTAGATCTTGAAATAGTAAGAAAACTTTTGTAAATCAAGGATAAAAAACCAATAGAAAGAACACATATGATAAATCAACAATTTTTCAATCAAGATTTAACCCAGATTTATTAATATAAAAAAAAGACATCTAATGCAAAAAATAATACAAAACATACGTACAAAATAAATAGTAGACTGAGCATATAGTGTTAAAGATAAGCTAAAATGAATTGCATGAAAATGAAATTATAAAGCTAGAAGGTGATGTTGAGTGAAATAGAAAAGATGTGATCCAAGTTTGACTAGTGCTCTGTGATGTTGCCTGAAAAGGAAATGTGATTTATATCGTGTTCAAATGTTAATTTATTTTGTTATTTTTTACCTATTATCAACGATGTTTTTAAACTAAAAAACATGAGATTGTTAGTTATTACGTTTCCAGGTGATCAATTACTACGTTTATTAATTATTACATTTTTATCACAAGAAATGTAATTAGTGATATTGAAAAAATTTATATTTATCAAACATTATGTTTTTGACATAAAAATGTAGTTAAAAATATCTTAAATATTCTATTATGAATAATATATCTATTACTATGTTTCTATATTAAGAAACGTCATTAATATTGAAAATATTAAATTTATTTTGTTATTTTCTAAATGATCGACTACGTTTTATATGTAAAAAAAAAATGTAGTGTTTTATAAAAAATAAAAAACTACAATTTATTAGTAACTATGTTTCCATAACAAGAAACTATATTTCATATGTAAAAAATGTAGTGTTTCTAAAATTAAAAAAAATTTGAAATTCTGAATTTGTAGTAATCTACAACATTGTTATTTTAAAAACGTTATATATGTCCAATTGTTGTTAGGTGTTCAATCGTATAAGTAGGAATGTAGTTTTATCCATCATGTGGTTATGAATATAGCTTATCGTGTCAGAATGAGTTTTGATTTATTATGCAATTATGTTGATTTTCAAGAGTAAAATAGATTGAAAAAATTATTATTGAGGTAAAAAGTGAGACAAAATTTACTTTCCTCCAAAAATCTTAAAAAATCTTAGGGAAAAAAGGGTTTTTGATTCTGGATTATTTGGACACTATTGAAAATTTTAGAATACTATAAAAGACACTATAAATCAAACTAAAAAATCATATTACAGAAAACAAAATTCCAAAGAATAATCTAATTTTTGTCCGAAACAAAATAAAAAATTAGAAGTTTCATAACTCTAATACCTCTTTGTTTAATTTTATGATATGGTAAAGAGAGATTTAAGCTAATAAAGATCCAATACTTTATAAGGTTTATCTTTAATTTTTATTACTAGTAAGCCTTCTTGATGGACGATTAAATCGAATGCAAATAATTGATAAGGCTTGCAACATACCCTCACCTTAAAATGGGATAGTCTCCCATCATCTAAACTTAAAAAAACAAAACAAAACAAGATTTGAAATTTTAAGTTTAAATCTCAGTTAATTAAATTGATTTTACATTGAATTTATCTAATTATGTTCGTTGATATTATTTGTTCCTTTGTCCTAAACATCCATTTATATATCCTCAAGAGCTATATAAGTGTTAGGCTAAATAGCCCTAGTTCAATTCATGTTAGCGGAAGCATAATCAAATAATGAATCAAACATATAAGAGACAATAATTTAACGTGGTTCAGTCAAACTGACCTATGTCTATGGATGAGAAACAAGATTTATTAGTTGTAGAAAATTACAAACATAAATCAAAACATATCAACTACTCAACAATCAATATCCATAGGCCCTCTCAATATCCTCTAGTCTTATGGAGTATTCTCAATCCAAATAAACACATACCCATGTGCACCATTTCAACATAACAAAAAACATACCCATATGTACCCATTCATTATACCTATATGGACCCTCTTAGTCTTCTCTAGTTTACTCACAAACAAACATATACACCTATAAGATGTAAATCTTCAGTACTCTCATGAGGTGTCTACCCATAAATCCTATAACTTTCTTACATCTTTTTTTCGTATCTAACCCTGTAGAGATTTTACCTATTTATAAGCTTACAAACTTGCCTATTAAGAATCTCTTTCCTCCTAGAATTTTTTTTCTACAAATCAAACTTACCTTTTAAAAATCCATTTTCTCTTATAAATCTTTTTTGCAAGTCTTCTTGTTCATCAAGTAATATCTAACAAATCTCAAATAAATCTCTTATAGAATTTGGGTCATTATTCCTAACAATCTTCACCTTGACTCAAATTCCATCAATCATCAATCTTCAAGCTAAACATATTTGACCCCACATGCAATGGAAGTCTTACAATCATCTTTTCTTGTGTGCCTTTATGCTTCATGCAAATCAATCCTCAAAACATAAACTCAAACTTCTTCCTTGAATCAAGTTCTTCTAAACTTGCCTCTTCCTATATCTCAAACCATGCTCTGATACCACTTGTTAGGGATCACCACACTCTGAAATCACTCGTTAGGGATAACCACAGCTCTGATACCACTTATTAGGCTTAAAAGCCTCAATCCAATCACACCAGCAAAAGCATAATCAAATAATCAATCAAACACATAAGAGAAAACAATTTAGTGTGGTTTGATCCAATCGACCTATGTCAAAGGATGAGAAACAAGATCCACTAGTTATATAGAATTACAAATATACATCAAAACATATCAATCACTCACTAATCAATACCCATAGACCCTCTCAATCTCCTCTAGTCCTATAAAGTATTCTTAATCCAAATAAACATATACTCATGTGCACCTTTTCAACACAATCAAACATATACCTATATGTACCTATTCATCATACCTATGTGAACCCTCTCAGTCTCCTCTAGTTTACTCATAAACAAGCATATACACCCATAAAATGAAATTTTTAGTAGTCTTATGGGGTTGTTTACCCATAAAACCCTATAACTCTCTTACATCTTTCTCTTATACCAAACTTTGTAGAGATTTATTTATTTATAAGTATATAAACTTGCCTATTAAGAATTCATTTCCTTTTAGAATTTTTCTTTTAGAAGTCAAACTTACCTTTTAAGAATCTCTTTTCTCTTAGAATTCTTTTTCTACAAGTTTTATTGTCTATCAAATAATATCTAATAAATCCCAAATAAATCTCTTATAGGATTTGAGTCACTGTTCCTAACAATAAGTTCACATTTTAGAAAACCACGAATTTGTTAACAATCATAAAGACACTGTGGAGAGAGTTGCTTTCAATTTGTATACAAAAATTCCAACCAATGGATTAGAAAAATTAGGAAAAAAGAAAATGTTTGCAATCCAAATTCAGATTGAGAATTCCACGTTTCATCAATTGATCACCTATTGAACACGTAGAGCCAAATCTTTGAACCCAAATATGAAAACAAAAATAATAATAATAAAATCAGGAGGTTTCATTTACATCAATTCAGATTGTCTATTTTTTCCCTACCAAAAATTCTATGAATCATAAGATTAAAATCTAACAGAATTAGGACCCCCAACAGTTCAAATCCATGACTTTTCTCATTTTCTCCTCAGCTTTCCTCCTCTTTTCCTCTCTCAACTTATTTGAAACAGCAGCTGAATAAGAAGAAGAAAAAGGCGAAGAAATCAACTTGGCCTGAGTAAAAGATCTGATGTTGTTCTTCGCAAGTTGATGCGGTGATCTTGTGGTATAATTCCATCTACATGTTCCTTGGTCTTTCAATGCCTCCACTGCTCCAATTAATGTAGCTGGCACAATCCAGGCTTTCCCTGCTGCTCCACTCATTCTTGAAAAGGTTAAAGATGGAGATGTTCTTCAGGTTTTTGTGTCAGTTTTGATTCAGTTGGGTGGAGAATGAGGTGTTGTGTTCTTTTATATGATGGCAAATGGTGGAAAACTAAAGGCAGTAAAAATTACCCATGGTTTTTCGAGACAAAACCAAGAATTGTGGAACTATAAGCTAATGGATTAAACATGTGACAAATAGTCAAATCAATGAAATCAACTTTCGTTTCAGAACAAACAAAGAAAAGTGGGGACCTTCGTTTTATTTTACTAGATTTGAGATTGCGCGCTACGCGACGGTGCTATTTTGATATAATAATATATTAATATGTGTTAACATCAATGTTGGGACATGTTTTGATAAACAAAACACATATGTAGGAAGACTTGTACAATAAAAATTATCTTAAATTATTAACAAGAATCATAAAATAATTAATTATATACACAAAACAAAGTTTAAAACTTTCACTTCTTTATTATTAGAAATTAAAAAGTAATTTAAAATACAATTTAAAGAGGCAATGCACATGCATATAATAAAAAAATTAGAGTAAGATACCACTTATGGCATTGTAGATGATATCGAATTTTTCTGGTAAATCTTCGAAGTTCTTCTATGTGTAATCAACAGTCTAAAGCATGACTGCAACTTCCCTCTACAACAAAAATTAAGCGAAGGCATGGCAATGAAATTCTAAATTCTTGCTAATTATTTATGTGCATGTCTAAACCTAAGTTACTCCCAATAAACTCAAGAAAGATGAAATTAAAGCAAGCAAAAATTACTCAAAAAAATTAGAAAATTAAAAATGAATTAAATTTTGTTAATACCATATAGCATTGAGGTTTCATTACCTATAAAGCCAAGAGCCAAATTCTAGCCTTGATTAGTTAATCGACAGTAGAGATTGAGAGATCTCTAAGTTGAGAAGCCTTCATGGATTATCTTGCTTGATTGTAACCAAACAGATTATTAAGGATGTCCTTGCTACTTAGTTTTCATGATGCTTGTTGTGGACTATAATGTTTTGAATAACTTTAAGTGGAAGAATTATAATGGCAATGTTGTTAAGTAGGAACCAATGGCTATACACTAAAGGTTCAGATTCAGCTTTTCATCTTTCACAAGTTGAATAACACAATTAATAATGCAACAGACGGTAAATTAATAGCATATATAGAATAGGAAAAATCACTAATTCCACAATATGGTTTTGGATTACATGGACATTTGAAAATGTTTATCATAATGACAACAGTATGAACATATGATATGGAGTCTAATGGTGAATATAAATAGTAGGCAATAGTTGCCATTAAATGTAAACTCTTGCTATGTTACGGGGAATTGTAAAAAAATATATATTTTTTAATGTTAAATTCAAAAGGCAATAAAATATAATTAAATATAAATTATATTATAAAGCTTACTTTAAGAAAACACTGTAACTTGCTTTTTCTGTAAAAGAAAAGTTTTAAATTTTGATTTTTTTTTAGTTCAAGTGAATAACAGCTAAAAATAGAATGACTATCCAATAATGATAAAATTACAAAAAATAATAGGTAGACTATAAATTCATAGGAAATGAAGATATAGTTCAAGATTTGATACAACACAACTTCATATCTATCCATTTAACAATCACATAAGCTAAAAAATCAAGCTAAAGCAAAGAGATGCTCACTATTAATCTATTGCTTAATTCTATGTTCCTCACCTATAAGATTTTGTTTTAGTAGCAAAGAAATTTCGACGTCTGTCAAATTAATAAGAGTCTAATATTTTATTTATAAAATTTAAATTCGATTATTTCATTTGTAAGATTAAAATTTGATTCTCGTTAATAATAGTCTTTAGTAGTCTTTCTTGATAGATGATTAAATGTAATGTAAATCATTGGTAAGGCTTGCAATAGATCCTCACCTTAAAATATTGGGATAGTCTCGCATCATCTAAACTTCTATAAAAAAAACAAATCTTGAAATTTTAAATTTAAATCTCAGTTAATTAAATTTCATTTTACGTTGAATTTATCTAATAATGTGATGATATTGTCTGTTCCTCTGTCCTAACTATCCATTTATATATCCTCATGAGCTATATAAATTAACATTTTAGAAACCTTGAATTTGTTAACAATCATACAATTTTAATAAAATCAAGCTGCATCTTAGAAAAAAAAAGTAGCAGTAGAGACATTGGAATTGAGTTTTGGAATAAGAGAGTTGCTCTCAATTTGTTTATAAAAAATCCAACCAATGGTTAGAAAAATCAGAAAAAAGAAATGTTTACAATCCAAATTTGGATTGAAAATTCCATATTTCATCAATTGATCCCCAATCAAACACATAGAGCCCAATCTTTGAAACCAAATATGAAAAAAAAAAAATTCAAAAGGTTTCATTTACATCAATTCAGATTATCCTTTTTTTCGCTACAAAAAATTTCTATTAATCATAAGATTAAAATCTAACAGAATTAGGACCCCAACAGTTCAAATCCATGACTTTCCTCATTTTCTCCTCAACTTTCCTTCTCTTTTCCTCCCTCAACATATTTGAAACAGCTGCTGAAGAAGGATGAGGAGAAGAAATCATGTTGGCCTGAGTAAAAGATCTGACATTGTTCTTGGCATGTTGATGCAGCGATCTTATAGTATGATTCCATCTACATATTCCTTGGTCTTTCAATGCCTCCACTGCTCCAATTGATGCAGCTGCCACAATCCAGGCTTTCCCTGCTGCTCCACTCATTCTTGAAAAGGTTAAAGATGGAGATTTTCTTCAGGTTTTTTGGTCAGTTTTGATTGAGTTGGGTGAAGAAATGAGGTGATGGGTTCTTTTAAATGATGGGAAACGGTGGAAAACTACAGGCAGTAAAAAGTTACCCATGGTTTTTGGAGACAAAACCGAGTGATTTGGTTAGAAAAGTTGGTGGTTTTCGATGCCTTAGTGATTTACACCTTGTGGAAGTATAAACTAATGGCTTAAACATGTGACCAAGAATCAAATTGATGAAATCAAACTTTTCTTTCAGACCAAAGAAATGTGGGGACCTTTGTTTTACTTTATTGGATTTAATTTTCCAAGCATATTATGTCATATTTGTCATGCTTTTTTATTTCCATTTAAAACGACCATTTTTTGTTTAGGTTGATTTGGTCACGAAATTTAAGGATTATGCATAATTTTTAGAAATAGATTTTTTTTTTTTTGGTAATATGGTTCGGGTATTTTAGAGTTTTGTTTGGCCTTAGTTTTCCTATAAAGCGATTTTAAAGGTGCGCTCTTTCATATTGGTTTATTGTATTTAAGATTTTATTTTGATTTAAATAATAAATTTTTAAAAAAAATTTACAATTTTATTTAAATAAGTTTTATATTTTTATTGAATTCAAATAAATTCTTAAATTTTTAAATTACACCAAAATAAATTTTTATTTTTTATTTAAATAAATTTTCAAAATTTTAATTTATACCTAATTAAGCTTTTAACATAAATTATTCTTTTATTTGAAATAAGATTTATTTGTATACAAATCAAAATATAAAGGTCTATTTGAATACAAGAAAAGTATAATAATATCTTTAAGAATAGAAAAATAATTTAAGAACATTTTTAATATTTTAGTTTCTAAGTGTTTTTTGAAAAAGTAAAAATCTAATTTTGATTTAAAAAATAAATAAATAAAGGAAATCTCTTCTTTTACCAACTGGATTAATTCTTTGTAGATGAAATAAATAATTTTTTTTCTATATGTTTTAATAGGTTTTCTTAGTCAAAGTTGAATCGATCAATTTATGTCATGTTTGACATATATAATGATAGATAAGATAAAATGATCAATATCTTATATCATGTTTGATTTGTATTAAAAAAAAAGAATAAGATTATAATAAAAATTAATCATCATTTTGGTATGAGATAATTGATTTTTTCAAAATAGAAATGATTATTTTTAATCAATAAAATTAAATTTATATATCTTATTATATTTTTAAAAATTATATCAATAATTTAAATAGTATAAACTTTAAAAAAATATAATTTTGATCAATAAATAAAATTATTATATTCTAATTTTTACACATATCAAGTACAAAATAAAATAACATTATTTAATCTAATACTATTCATAATACCATATTATCTTATTTTATAATTATTAATCTTGTACATTAAACAAACCTTAAAAGTGTAATTTTTATTCAATCAACTGAAATTGTCTTAGACTACCTATTGTTAGATTATTATGTTATGAGCCTTAGAGTTTAAAGAAAAATGGTAAGAAAAAACTTTTTTTTTGATGACCTTCTACCAAGTACAATACTATGACATTTAATTTGGAATTTATTACTTAATTAAAGGGAAAAAAGTTTACTTTATTTTTATTTTATTTTTTTGGGCTACAAACCAAAATAAGAATTAACAATGAAGGAGAATGTTTACAACTCCATACTAAACTCATTTATTTCAATTTTTGGCACTTGACTTCACCGATTTTTGACAGGTGCATGCCAAGGGCCTTAATCCCTTAACTCCCTAACTCTGAGAAATAAAAATAAAACTCTTAACAAAAAATCATTTGATCATTGGCCTTTTGTCTCTAACAAAAAACCATGAAAATTGCATTAAAATCTAACTGTACTAGGACCCAGGAACTCAATTCCATCACTTTTTTGATGGATTTCTCAGATTTCTTAACCTCCTCCTTCATGTTACCGGAAGCTGCTGCCACCGCTGCTAGTGTCGGTAAAGATGGAGAAGAAAGAACCTTGGTCTCAGTCAATGATCTAAGATTGTTCTTTGCATGCCTCAGGCTATAATTCCATCTACAAATTCCTTGGTCCTTCAATGCCTCCACTCCATAAATTGTAGCTGCCACAATCCATGCTTTCCTTGATGCACTCATTTTGTTCTTGTAAAATCTTAATCAAGAAAATATATATGGTACTAATGAAATGGGATTGGTCCCATTTATATGGGTTGGTGACTAAATATACACTACTTAATAGAAAAATGAAAGAGTATAAAACTATTGGCTGTTAGTGTTGGCCAATAGTTTAGGAAAAGTTTTATTACCCACCTTTTTATTTTGGACTCAAAAACCATTTATTTTGTGAAGTCAATGAACATGTGATTTGCCTTTCATTTGTTCATTGCATTTAATTTTGGAGGCAGAGTTTAAAGACTAAACAAAGCTTCTTTACCTATCCCTTTTATAAACCATTTGATTTTCTTCTCAATTTATTTATTTATTTATTTTTAGAAAATCGTAATTTAAAATAAAAGAAATTATTGCAAATACTAATATTTCGATTTCAGATTTATTAGATATCATCTTTTAATGATAACTGTATAATTAACTGAATTAAATTTTAAAATTTTTAAGTAATTTAATTTAATTTATAATATTTCTAACAAATAGTTGTAAAAACAGTTAAATTCAACAAGGAGAATAAATGAGACAAGAATAGCTATTTTAGTTATAGTAATTGCCTGTTGAAAGAGTGGTTGCTGAATATTTTACATGAAAAAATGTAATTCATGATCATCAGAAAGAAAATGGGGTTTTATTAGTTTGCACACAAAAGTATGGAGGTTTTAAGTTTTGACCTATCTTCAGATGAATTCACTAATTAGGTTTTAATTCATGATCACAGGGAGAAGATTTTCTATATATAAATTCACCTTAAAAAAGAAAAAAGAAAAAACTGATAAAGGAAAAAAAAATGCAATTCATCTAAGCATTCTTAAGAAATTGTACTGGAAAGTCCTTAATTTTCTAATCTCAACCTCAACTTTTGAAATTTTGAATTTTTTTCTACAAATGAAACCATAATATAAGAATAACAAAAAAAATTATAAGTACTTAAATTTGAGTCTTAAACTTATGGGATGTCATCATTTATCATTTAAGGATGACTGGATGAATTAATTGAGTAAGCTTTGGATTCTTTTAAACATTTTTTGATCGATCAAGCAATGTAATTAGTGCAAAAATGGCATTATGCATGTATAAAAATACTGTTGGGCTAAAAGCTTCCAATCTAATCATACCAGCGAAAGTAAAATCAAATAATAAATCAAACACACAAGAGACAACAATTTAGTGGTTTGGTCCAACTGACCTACATCCACGGATGAGAAACAAGATCCACTAGTTGTAAAGAATTACAAACATATATCAAATCATCAACCTCACTCAACAATCAATATTCATAAGACACTCTCAATCTCCTCTAGTCTTATGAAGTATTCTCAACGCAAACAAACAAAACCCAAACCTTTGTGCACCTTTTCAACATAACCAAACACATACTCATATGCTCTCATACATCATACCTATGTGGACCATCTCAGTCTCTTCTAGTCCACTCTCAAACAAACATACACACCCATAAGACGTAGAGCCCCAATACTCCTATGGGGTGTCTATCCCACAAAATCCTATAACTCTCTTACATCTTTTTCTCATACCTAACCTTGTAGAGACTTCACCTATTTATAACCATACAAACTTGCCCTTAAGAATCCCTTTCCTTTTAAAATTCTTCTCTTGTAATTCAAACTTGCCTTTTAAGAATACATTTCCTTTTAGAATTCTTCTCTTGCAAGTCAAACTTACCTATTAAGAATCTTCTTTCTCTTAGAATTCTTCTTTTGCAAGTCTTCTTGTCCATCAAGCAATATCTGAGAAATCCAAAATAAATCTCTTATGAGATTTAAGTCATTATTCTCAACAATCTTCACCTTGACTCAAATTTCATCAATCATCTGTCTTCATGCTAGACATGCTTGATTCCACCTATAATGGAAGTCTCACACTCATCTTCTCTTGTGTGTCTTCATGCTTCATGCAAATTGATACTCAATCTTCAAAACTTAAACTCAAACTCTTTTCCTGAATCGAGCTCCTCTAAGCTTATTTTTTTCCATGTCTTAAACCAAGTTCTTCCCATGTGTCAAACCATTGGCTCTTCCCACATCTCGAACATTTGACTTTTCTCATATTTTGAACTTTCAGCTCTGATATCACTTGTTGGGGAACACCACAGTTCTGATACCATTTGTTGAAGAACACCACAGCTCTGATACCATTTATTGGAGAACACCACAGCTTTGATACCATTTGTTGGGCTAAAAACCTCAATCAACTCATACCAACGGAAGTAAAATCAAACAATAAATCAAACACACAAGAGACAATAATTTAACGTAGTTCGATCCAACTGACCTACATCCACGGATGAGAAACAAGATCCACTAGTTGTAAAGAATTACAAACATACATCAAATTATCAACCTCACTCAACAATCAATACTCATAAGACACTCTCAATCTCCTCTAGTCCTATGAAGTATTCTCAACCCAAACAAACACAAACCCAAACCCTTGTGCACCCTTTCAACATAACCAAACACATACCTATATGCTCTCATACATCATACCTATGTGGGCCCTCTCAGTCTCTTCTAGTCCACTCACAAACAAACATACACATCCAAAAGACGTAGAGCCCTAATACTCCTATAGGGTGTCTATCCCATAAAACCCTACAACTCTCTTATATCTTTTTCTCATACCTAACCCTATAGAGACTTTACGTATTTATAACCATACAAACTTGCCCATTAAGAATCCCTTTCTTTTTAAAATTTTTCTCTTGCAAGTCAAACTTATCTATTAAGAATCCTCTTTCTCTTAGAATTCTTCTTTTGCAAGTCTTCTTGTCCATTAAGTAATATCTGACAAATCCTAAAATAATCTCTTATGAGATTTGAGTCATTATTCCCAACAAATACAAAGGGGTAGCTTAATTAGGACCCTA